TCATCAGTTCTAACAACATGCACGATGAGCTAGGCAACAAAGCATAGCGCAGGGCCCTGAGCTTCCAAGCTCTCTCGTAACTGTATAAGGCCTACTTTACTTCTCTATTTTCACGAATAGGCAATGTTGATCATGAGTTTTTGAAGCTTAATTGGGCAATAAATAAAAGGGGGTTTGTCAAATGACAACTGCTCTATTTAGTTGCTATTCACTCTTTAGATGAAAATTCTTTTATTAATGATGTCGACAAAATTATTGACGCTTCGGGCCAGTAACCCATCATCAGAAGTTTCGAGACGAATAATTTGGGCAATATTCGTGAATAATGGAATTTCTTTGGACTGGTTGCTCACATTGTCATAAGACTTTGGGAAGACGGAGTACATACCCTAGAGATTGTACGAAATACCTTGGATTGAATAAAGTTTAACTCAGATAATATTACTCAGCCATTAATAAATGGAAAAAAGATCAGAAAGCACATCAGAACGATTTATGCAGCAACTATTCACAACTTTAACGGTCGCTGAATGTCTCAGTAGCCTGTCAGTTTTATGCCCTGCTATCTCTCTTTCTGACTGCTTATTAAGATCATCTTGTTGCAGTCGTGGATAGTTGCTGCATAACTTTTCTTCATGTGCTTTCTTTTCTTTGTTCGGTTGAATAAAGGTTGCTATATGCAACCAGGCAGGCAGGCATAGTGGGATGGTCTAAGACCATGATTGAGAAACAGAGGGTACCAGGTTCAAGTCCTGCTTGGAAGCGGAAGGATTTTTTCCAGCCGTGCTGCGACCCACAGTTAATTGGGAACTCGTGGCCTGGCACGAGGGAAACATGGATGCAGTGAATGGGATTTCGGTCTTTGACCACTTGGTGGTGGGTCTGATCTACTCACCTCCCACCGCTTAGGAGCTGCATCTGCGCCTTGATCCAAGAGGGTGGTGGCGTTCCTGCGGATGCGGAAAACTGGGCCTTTGGCCGAGTCTCACGCGAACCGTGAAATTTTTTATTATTTTTTTTATGCAACCTTAGAATAAATAAAATAAATAAATAAATTCGACGGGTTCGCGTACCGGGCAGGTCAAGAACAAGGAGTCGTACAACTCCCTGGTCAAGAACCACCTTTCCGCTTCCGTGGGACGCCACCACCCCATGATCAGGCGTCAGATGCGGCTCCTAAACGGTGGGGGAGGATAGATCAGATCCACCAACCATAGGCCAAAGGCCTAAATCCCATTTGCCACATCCATGATTTACTCATGCCAGGCCACGAGTTCCCAAGCGGAAGGATTTTTCCAACCGTGCTGCAACCTTAGAATAGGAAGTATATACTGTGTATGTATACTGTTGTGAATTCCAGCAGAAATCCAAGAGAGCTCGATACCGGGAAGGTAGAGCCGTGACACACTAGTCAGAACAACAGATGGCTTGATCAGTCACAACTTTAAGTTTCATGCCATCTCAGGCACTCATCAAGTGATCAAGCCATCTGTTGTTCTGACTAGTGTGTACTGTGTATGATTATAATTATACATGTAGAGTATTTGCTGCAATTTTGGTAACTGATAAGTCGGTAGGGAGACAAAAATAATCTAATTGATAGATATACTGTGAACACAATCATAGCAATATGAGAAACACTGGTATCCTAGAATTAGCACTATAGAAGGCATGATTACAAAGTGAGCAGTGCTAGAGCATGTGTGAAGTGGAGAGTGGGAGGGGGGGGGGGCAATTGGGAAAGTTACATGTATGTGAGGGAGTATGTAGGTGTTTCTCATAATTATTAGTTTTAGATCCATTACTATTCACTTAATTGTAACATAAAAATCGTTTCTTTGTAGTCTAACCCTCAGTGTGGTCAGTGTGACTGATGATAGTCACATTAAAATGATGTTAAAATCCATACTTGTTGTTCTTATGGTGTCGTGGCATGAGTGCATTTACATTATTTCTATCGATTTGGGAAACTTCAAATATTTTGGGGACGGAGATGGAGAGTTTGCTCAAGGTTTCATTTGATTTTCGGAAGGGGTTAGCCAATGGAAGATATTTACCTTGAGCTTTTTGGCGTTCTATACAGAGAAACCGAGTCTGACGCGAACCGTGAACTTTTTTTGGCGTTCACCTGGAATTTTATCTCTTTAGCTGGAAATAACATGACATTTCAAAATTGCATATTTTATTAGTCCATAATTAGACCTGCGCAGTGGGCAATGAAAAAGGTGAAAATGGTAAAAGCAAGTCAGAATGTCTTCCATTCCCTTAGTGATGCCTCCCGAGCAATCTAAAGGCAAGGATCATTGTAAGTGAAAGAAAAAATAATTTCACTCTCGCGACCCACTCATCCCTTGTCAATCGTCGCATCCGTGAAGCTGTGTTTATTCGTGATAGGCGTCTGTCTGTGAACAGAGACTGTGGCTGGAAGCTTCTAGACATGGTGTGAAACTGTGAACAGGGACTGTGGCTGGAAGCTTCTGGACAAGGTGTGAAACTGTGAACAGGGACTGTGGCTGGAAGCTTCTGGACAAGGTGTGAAACTGTGAACAGGGACTGTGGCTGGAAGCTTCTGGACAATGTGTGAAACTGTGAACAGGGACTGTGGCTGGAAGCTTCTGGACAATGTGTGAAACTGTGAACAGGGACTGTGGCTGGAAGCTTCTGGACAAGGTGTGAAACTGTGAACAGGGACTGTGGCTGGAAGCTTCTGGACAATGTGTGAAACTGTGAACAGGGACTGTGGCTGGAAGCTTCTGGACAAGGTGTGAAACTGTGAACAGGGACTGTGGCTGGAAGCTTCTGGACAAGGTGTGAAACTGTGAACAGGGACTGTGGCTGGAAGCTTCTGGACAATGTGTGAAACTGTGAACAGGGACTGTGGCTGGAAGCTTCTGGACAAGGTGTGAAACAGTGAACAGGGACTGTGGCTGGAAGCTTCTGGACAAGTAATGGTGTGAAACTGTTACTTGTATGATTGTACAGTGTATGCACTGTTGGTGTTGCGTTGTCACCTACAAGCCTGTTTGTGTCAGTGCTTGGTGCGCAGGCTGTTTGTGTCAGTGCTTGGTGCGCAGGCTGTTTGTGTCAGTGCTTGGTGTGCAGGCTGTTTGTGTCAGTGCTTTGTGCGCAAGCCTGTTTGTGTCAGTGCTTGGTGCGCAGGCTGTTTGTGTCAGTGCTTGGTGCGCAGGCTGTTTGTGTCAGTGCTTGGTCCGCAGGCTGTTTGTGTCAGTGCTTGGTGTGCAGGCTGTTTGTGTCAGTGCTTGGTGTGCAGGCTGTTTGTGTCAGTGCTTGGTGCGCAGGCTGTTTGTAGTTGTCATGGTACACATGTACATGTAATTCTGTTGCCATGACTTGTTGTAGCTGTGGGTAGACAATGTATCACTCTGTCTGTTGTAAATGCGTTGAAAAGGTCTCCGTTGCACGTCCTGAGATCTCATCACGACTTTGACTCCTTGCCTGTTTTCCTGCTAGCTGTTGCTGCATGCCATTAATTTAGTCTAATTGATTCTGTATTAGGTAACTTCTCTTACCTGTTGGTCTTTGGCCACGAGTGTCGTCTGAGTAATTATGAACATTGCGTGCGTTTGCTAGTAGAGTTCACGATTTGCTAGAGTTACTTACGTGCTTTGTTACTATTCTCCCTGAGTGAAGTTCCGCTGCTGAGTAATCCTACGATGTGTCATTATCTGACAGGGTTTACTGTCACCCATATCGGGTGCAAGCACCCACTGACAGGTGAAACCCTTCGGCTTCCCATACGTCTCTTTCCTCTTTCCTTTCCGATTAATTATTGTAGTTTGAATTTATATTTGTTTATTTATTTTGTGTGTGCGTGCACGAGCCGCTGCCATGTTTCTGCAGTCGTGTATACCGTCATAAACGGTCATCTCACGCGTGCACGATATCTGGCTTGCCTTATTTGTTGAGTGTTTGGTACGCTGAGTTCGCTTGTGTCGCCGTGTGTGCACCGGTACTGGCACGTTTTGCTGATGACAGTGCTTTGAGTGGTTTGTTCCTTGGTTGTTTTCTTTGGTGGTTTTCGTTGTTCTCTCAGAGTCGCAATAGCTCTCTTACCCATATACCCGTTATGCATTCTATTCTATCATTAGTGTAATGTTTATCTATCTAAACTCGTAATGCCCGTGGTGGTTGAGACTGAGAGTTCTTGTGTGTGGTACGCCTGGAAGTCTTGAGTGTGGTATCGTTGAGATACAACGCATACACAAAACTGTCTTCACATCTGTCCACTGAGATTCTATTGGACCCCCCCCCCCCCCCCAACACAAACACACCTTACCGCTGAGACACAAACCACCTACACTTACCTCCATCCTATCCGTCACCTAACATATTCCCACCAATCTGTGTCAGTCTCATTAGTTGTTGTCTTCACACATGTAGTTCAATACGTACCTATGCAATGGATATTTCGTCATCTGTTACCCTAATGACGGGCTAGGCCCGAAAATTTGGTGTAATGTAATTTTTTAATTTATTCGCAGTGAAGGGACCGTTTTTGGAGTAGAGAAGTGAAAAAATGAAAAAAAATGAATTTTTTTTACCAAGCTAGTTGAACAAAAATTAAGAACATGATGTTATTGTTGGCTCCAACCTACAGTCCGCGAAGGCGGCATTGATGTAAAAATGATGATCGCGTACCATGATCCATATATGAAGCCCAACAGCCACGAAAGCAAGTGACGAACCACTTGATGAGTAGGCAGGAGATGGACGTTCTCAAATGGGACATTAACAGTCAGTAGATCAGATCAGGATTATTAAAATTTTGCTCTTATTGGGCCTAAGGGAATTCTTTGAAGCATGGGAGTACTCCTGGCCACGCATGCCTTGAGTGTATATAGTACCAGTGTAGCTTCGCTCGGTGGCTCAGGGGCTAGAGCATCCCCCTGTCCGCAAGCCAAGGTCATTGGTTTGCCCTTTGGAGTTCCTCCACTCTAGCATACTGATACTTTGTTTACCACGTCTTCTATTTCTTTCAGATCTTTCGAGGGTCAGCACCTGAGAAGCCTATCCGAAGGAGTGTTTCAAAAGTTAACAGGCCTACAACATTTGTAAGTATTTCTGTACAGGTCCATCCCTGTTAGTACAACATCTGTGCATGTCAACCCTCGTTAGTACAACATCTGTACACGTCCACCCTCGTTAGTACAACATCTGTACAGGCCCACCCTCGTTAGTACAACATCTGTACAGGTCCACCTTCGTTAGTACAATATCTGTACAGGTCAACCCTCGTTAGTACAACATCTGTACAGGTCCACCCTCGTTAGTACATCATCTGTACAGGTCCACCCTCATTAGTACAACATTTGTACACCGTGCATCTTGCAATAAAATTCAAAAACTGCGCTCAGGATTTCAGTCACTTTTGCATCAACGGTTGTGTCGTCAATTCTATTGGACGAACTTTTACTATTAATTTTCTCTCCTCGCCACTCCACACAACAAAAGACTAGTGCTGATTGAGAGAGAGAGAGAGTGTTTTCTCAGACTTGACATCACAAGGCGACTGGAGAGCTGCGCTCCAACAAAACAGGACAAGAGAATATATTATGGGGATGTGGAGAAAAGAGGGGAAAAAGTGGGGTGAGGGAGACGAAAGAGGTGCATGGGAAAGGTACAACAAGGCCTGAACAGGACGGGAGACAAAGACGACCGACGGGGAAATACGACGGACACAAGACGGCAGCCAGACAAATACAACGGAAACAAGACGAGAAAATGCGTACACTACAGGGACGAGATGAGAAATAATGCATACGGAGGGGACAGAAGACGGTGCAGCGGCATGTACAAAGCGTTCCAAGACAGCGCAGCAGTGTATACCAAGGGTCAGCAGCATGTACCACACAGAGACACATACGCAGCCACATGTACGACAAAGAGACACAAGCGCAGCCACGTGTACGACAAAAGAGACACAAGCGCAGCCACATGTACGACAAAGAGCAACCCGCGCAGCCGCATGTACAACACAGAGCTACAAGCGCGACCACATGTACAACAGTCGCACCAAAAATTGTTGGTGGCGCAAGGAGAAGCTTGTCGTTTGGAGTGACAAGTGATCACCGCTGGTTTTCCTGGTCAGAGTCAACAATACACTTTGTTCTGCAGCGGTGGGAGTAGTGTTGGAGTAGAAATAATTGCTGAGGAGACATCGCGCAGGGGCGAGCTTTCCTGCGCAGGTAGGACTTTGGCCGTATTTCAGCATGGTCAAGTGGAAAAAATCTAAAAGTTTATTTCAAGAAAAACCCCAAAGGAAGATGCAGGACATGTCCTCAGCGCTAGAAGAGGTGTTCTACTATTTGCTAGTGTATAGTTCTTGCCGATTGAGGACGTATCTGGCTGTTTTGCCAGCGCTTGTTAATTAGCTATTTTCAAGACGGGCATTTGTGGCGTCAGGGGGTGATGGCGCTCATCTTCTGGGATCCTGGGGTGGCTAAGCGGTACTGCTCCAGGAACTCTTCTAAGGTGAGGCAATGTTGGCTTGATGGAGTTTTGTTCGTAGCTTGTTCGTATACGCCGTGGCGTGACTCGTTTGTAGACCCATAAATAGTGTGATATTTCGGCCATTTTTGAGGGTATGCAAGTTTCAAGGTTCCCTTCAGAAACTTTTTCAAGGGCTTTGCACAATCGATCTACATCCCAAAGGTAAAATACCTGAAAATTTTGAGCGAAATCGGAGAGATCCGCTTACTTTGGTATTCTTACACATGCTCTCTTTTAAAACACTCAGAAAAGCCCTAGTTCGGACCTTCTACCAACCCGTCTCCTCAAAGAAGCTGCATCAGAAATTTCAGAATCCCTGGCTGCCCTCTTGAACTTGTCCTTTGCAACCGGAGAAATTCCCACTAGACTGGAAAGATGCCACGATCCCTCCCCCCCCTGTAGATGGGCAACACTACAACAATGCAAGTCTGGAGGTAGCCATTGCAGGCTTCGTCTTCAAGCTCTGCGAGTTCTCTACTGCAAGCATGCACGCATGCGCACACTATACATATGTACATGATTACATCACTACATCTCCCCCTTCAAATAAAAAAAAGAAGAAGAAGAAGAAATCAAAATAAAGGAACAAAGTGAAGAAGGAAAAGCCAATTAATTAAAGAGAAAAAAACAAAAAGAAGAAAAGGAAAAAACCGAAGCGAATGCGCATGCCATGAGCCAGTCATTAAAAACTTCAAATCACTGAGAAAAACAAAACAAAACACAACCACGCTACATACTACCGACAAGCGGCTGTGAACGAGGAAGAAAACAAAACAAAAAAATGTTCAGCACAAAAAAAAAAGGTAAAATGGTCTCTACGTGTCCATGGACACACTGTCCCGCAGCAGCAGCAGCAGTCATCCATAAGCCGCTCTGGCCTTCTCTGTAAGGGTTACCTGACGGCCAGAATGGGTTTTCATGCCATCATGAAATCGCTTGGGAGACTCACTGGCTGGTGAGCTGGTCTGATCCCTGCAGACATCGCTAGGAGAAACTGGACGAGGCGAAGAACACGCGGGTGAGGCGTCAGCAAGTGCAGAACGGGTGAGAGGGGCCTCAGCTTCCGTTGACGCTGGCACCAATGGCTCACTACCTGTCGCCGATTGTGGTGCGGCCGGGCTAGTCGGAACCGGAACACTAACAGGAGGCTTGGACAGCGGTGACTTGGGTACGGAGGCAACAAACTCAGGCCAATCAGACGATGCAGCAGCAGGTGAGACCAATTCTCTGACATGTTGGCGGTTACGAAGCAGAATCCGGACACCGTCGGTTACTCCCACTTGCCTCCCGTACTGCTCCACCACGGTCCACGGCTTGGCTGGATCATTGTATCCGTCATGGAGGATCACCCGCTTGCCCGCCTGCAGATGTGGCAAGGCCTTCACTCCACGACGAGCGTCATGATCACGTGCCATTGTGGCCTTGGCTCTCAGCTGGATGCTGGGGTTGACAATGCGAGGAGGGATCATGGTAGGAACTCTGCTACGCAATGGGCGAGAGAACAGAGCCTCGTTTGGAGAGGTTCCCAACATGCGGTGTCGGGAATGTCGGACGTCGAACAGAACCTGGTTCAGTCGTCGACGGAAAGGTAAATGAGGCTTCAGTGCCACCATTCTTTCCTTGACGAGACGATGGAGTCGTTCCACCATGCCATTGGAACGTGGATAACGTGGGCTGGAGCGGATGTGACGAATGCCCAGCCGCTGCAAGAAGGTGGTCATCTGCTCCGACACAAACTGTGGCCCGTTATCCGAAACCAGTACAGACGGTAGACCGAATAGGGCAAACACTTCATCTAGCTCGTCCACGATAGCTGTAGTGGTTGTAGAGGACAGAACCTTGAGGATAGGGTACCGGGAGCCATAATCAATGAGGGAGAGAACAGAGTGGCCCTCAATAGATACCAGGTCGATTGCCAGTTTCTCCCACACGCCTTCAATCTCAGTGGGGAGAAGATCTTCCGGACTGTTTGTGCGACGTCGCCAACACTCGGAGCAACGTTCCACATACAGACTAGCGTCCTTGGTGAGCCCTGGCCACCAAACCCTCTGCCGGAGGGAATCTTGAAAGGCTTCCTGGCCCGGGTGTCCCTCATGCGCTAATGCCATGACGGAATGGCGTAGCCCTTCTGGTATCACAACACGTGCCGACAATAGCAACACACCGTCAGCTGCAGTGAGTTGATCTCTGACGAGATAGTACGGCTGCTCAGCGGGTGAGGCATCGCGCCAGGATGAGGTGAGCACACGCTGCAGGACACTGTGGAGCGTTGCGTCGTCTTGAGTGGCACGGCGGATCTCCTCAAGGTTGACTGGTGCTGCCTGAAGAACCATGTTGACGTACTCATTCAATGACCGGGACTCAGCTGGAGACGAGACAGTGGTCTTCAGCGGAGCACGAGACAAGGCGTCAACGCACAACAGTTGCTTTCCTGGGATGTGCTTGAGTGAGTACGAATACGGCATCAGAGAGACTAGCCAACGCTGGAGACGTGGTGGGACGTCATCGAACGGCTTCTGAACTATATGGAGCAGTGGTCTGTGATCCGTGAAGACGTCCACATCCCGGCCCAGAACGTACTGGCGGAAACGAGTTAGAGCGAATACCACACCCAACATTTCACGCTCCATCTGCGAATAGCGTGTCTCCACATCAGTCAATGATCGGCTGGCACAAGTGACTGGCACCCACTGGCCCTTGTCGTCGTGCTGCCAGAGGATAGCGCCCAAACCTTGAGGCGAAGCATCGCAGCTGACAGCCGTACGAACATCTGGAGATGGGCGGAAGTACGCCAATGTCTGCAGAGATGAAGCGACTGCCTGCTTTACTGCGTTGAATGCCGCAATCAGGCTCTCAGTAGCTACAAATGGCTCTGGCTGCTTGACGATCGAACGAAGTGGCTCAGTTACTTGAGGCAGCTGAGGAACAAACTTGCCCAGATAGGTGACCATCCCGAGAAAACGCTGAACGTCGGCGAGGCACGTGGGCTCCGACAGTTCACTGATAGCTTGAAGCTTGCATGTGTCGGGTTGAACACCTTGCTTCGTCAGGACATGGCCGAGATACTTGACACATGTCAGTCGAGTGCGACACTTGTCCCAGTTGAGGCAGAGATTAGCAGCTTTGAGTCGTTCCAAAACGCTAGCGAGCCGTGCATCGTGTTCCGCCCGGTTGCGACCATACACCAAGACGTCATCTATATAGACAACAACACCAGGCAAACCCGAAAGGAGATCAGTTACAACACGCTGAAATATCTCGGGAGCACAGGATATGCCAAATGGCAGTCGTTTGAAACGATAGAGACGACAGTGTGTGGTAAACGTGGTAAGCGGTCGGGATTGGTCGTCAAGCAAGAGCTGGTGAAAACCAGACTCTGCGTCCAAAACCGAGAAAACCTCCGCTCCCGCAAGCTCCGCAGTAATCTCATCAATGGTTGGCAATGAACGTCGCTCTCTAACAATAGACTTGTTCAACTGCCGATAGTCAACACATAAACGCAAGGTGCCGTTTGACTTACGGACTGGGACGATCGGCGATACCCATCCAGACGCTTCCTTAACTGGCTCGATGATATCTGCCTTGACAAGACGATGCAGTTCATGTTCAATGTCGGCCTTGGCGCTGAATGGGGGACGTCGTGCTGGTTGAGCCACCGGCCTAGCTTCAGCATCCACGGAGATGGAAATTGGTGCGGTGTCAACCAAATTGCCAGTGTCCACCAGGTGCGCTGGAACCAACAGCTCAAGTTCAGAGATCACATCCTGGCCGAACAGAATACGATGTTTCCCATGGGGTACAACAAAACAACTACAAGACATGGTACGCGTAGGAGATGCAATGGTTACATCAGCCATGCCTAAAGTTGCAATCTCCCCGCCTGTGTACGCCTTGAGGACACGATTACTGCTGCGGGTAGGCTGGACAATGTCATCGGTGAGAATAGTACGGCTTGCACCGGTATCCAGCAAACCTTCACACTCCTTGCCATCCACCAATAGCGATGCGAGGAACTGGCGGTGTGACCCGGTCTGCTCAGCCATGTACACGGTGTCATAAACCAAATGAGCCTGGTCAGCTAGGTCGGCGGGCTCCTCGTCGACGGCGTTAGCATCTAATCCAGAGCGTTGCGACTGACATACGGCCGCAAAATGTCCGACCTTGCTACAACTGCGACAGCGGATGTTGGCTGCAGGGCAAAACGACTTTCCCTTAGCATGTGTACGGCCACAGTACCTGCAAGAACCAGATACTGTACGTGGCTGTCTGCGATGCTGTCTGGTCGCACTAACGGCAGCCACTGAGCTGAACTGATTGGCAGGCTCTGCCGGCGGATCATACAGCTTACTCTCCGCATAGGAGGTCTCCAGTGCCACTGCTTTGGTGATGGCATCTGCGAGGGTGAGTCTGGACTCCTTGAGCAACTCGCGACGAACTTCGGGGGATTTCAAACCTGCAACCAACTGGTCTCGCACCTGGGAGTTAACCACGCTGTCCACATCCGTCGCCCCGAACTTACATAAGTCCACTCTCTCTCGTAAACGGCCAACGAAGGTGGAGACGGATTCCTCCGGCCCTTGTTTGAGCTGCCGGAATTTGTGACGTTCTGACGTCGTATTGATGGTGGGACGGAAGTGCGCCAGAACGGCGTCCGTCAGTGCTACGTACTCGTCTCCAGGAGAACCATCATCATTTGCTGGCGGAGAAGGAATAACCAGACCCTTCACAACTTTGCGAACTGAGAGTCCGGCCAAATTCAAAAATAAACGCTTTTTGTCAGCAGCAGTAGAAACATTACAAATTGCTAAGTAGTCATTGACATCCTCGAGCCAAAGCTCAAAATCGGCCCCGATGTCGCCGGCGTAATCGGGTACAAAATCCTTGGGCACTCTGCCCTTCGTTGTCATCTTGACCTGTTCACTGCGCCAATGTAGATGGGCAACACTACAACAATGCAAGTCTGGAGGTAGCCATTGCAGGCTTCGTCTTCAAGCTCTGCGAGTTCTCTACTGCAAGCATGCACGCATGCGCACACTATACATATGTACATGATTACATCACTACATCCCCCCCCCCCCCCCCCGTTCCCCAGTCAGGAGACCTCTCCCAGCCAACAAATTACTTTCTGCTTAGCATAACCTGAAAAATCCAAGAACAAAATTGTTCACTCGCGACTCTACAAACACATCTCACGCCACTTACCTTCTAACCAGTCTGGATTCAGGGAGAAAGAGCTGCAACTTGCTCGACTGGTGCATGAAATTCCGGTGGCTCGTGACTCGGGAAAGCATGTTACAGCTTGCTTTTTTGACCTGCGCAAAGCCTCTGACCGAGTATGGCATCAGTGCCTGATAGCCAAACTCAAGCACTACGGTGTCCAGGAAGCAGCACTGCGATGACTCTCTCCGTGCTTGCTAGGGCGTAGGCAGCGAGAGCGAGTTGAGGGCACTACATCAGCCTTGCACACTGCGAACTGCAACTGGAGAGCAGTGTGTCAGCCGCCGCTGGATGGTTGGAGCACTTCTACCTCCTCATCAGCACTGCAAAAAACGGTAGCAAGCCAAGTTACCAGCCATGGTGCAAAGGACGCACCACAGACATTAAGAGAGCATGTCTGAGAAAACCAGAACATATGTGCAAGTCGATCTCTCAGATTTCGCTCAAATTTTGCAGGTAGGTTTGCTTTGGGGTGTAGATCGACATTCCAAAGCGCGCGCAAAATCTTTTGAAGGGAACCATGAAATTGGCATACCCCTCAATATTGGCCCAATATTGGCACGATTTATGGGTCTACAAAGGAGCCAAGGCGCGGCGTACAAGAACAAGCTACGAACAAAACTCCAACAAGCCAACATTACCTCACCTTAGAAGAGTTCTTGGGGCAGCACCACTTAGCCACGCCAGCATTCCAGAAGACAAGGGCAATCATCCCTTTACGCCACAAATGATCGTCTTGAAAATAGCCAAGCTACAAACGCTGATAAAACAGCAAGCTACGTCCTCAATTAGCAAACACTATACACCGGCAGATAGTAGAACACCTCTTCTAGCACTGAGGACATGTCCCCCATCATCCTTTGTGGGTTTTCTTGATATAAACAATTTTGAATTTTTCCACTCGACCATTCTGAAATACGTCCAAACTCATACCTGCGCTAGAAAGCTCGCACCTCCGCGACGTCTAGTCCGCAATTTCTACTCCAACACCACTCCCAACGCTGCAGAACAAAGTGTATTGTTGACTCTGACAAGGAAAAGCAGCGGTGATCACTTGTCACTCCAAACGACAAGCTTCTCCTTGCACCACCAACATTTTTCGGTGCAACAGTTGATGCAAAAGTGACTGAATTTTTGCGTGTAGTTTTTGGACTTTACTGCAAGAGGAATGAAGAAATCACGTGCATCGTGCTAACTACGAAAAGTAGAGATTGATACGTATGGTTTTGCTTTTATATAGTCTGCAACAGGCGTGGATAGTGCTTAGGGAGTCTTGGCAATCTGTTGGAAGTAACATTCTATGATAGAAGGTTAGGCGGCCGTTTTTACCAAGACAAGGTTAACTCTGGGCCGTTAATAAGTCAGATGTTATCATGAATCAATGTGAGTTGTCGTATGGATGTGTTTCTCGGTATATACCTACTCGCTCTCTTCCTGTGTTTTCAGAGCGTTATTCAACAATGAACTCAGTGCTTTACCAGAGGAATTGTTCCCAAACCAACCAGCATTTACAAAGCTGTGAGTTTCACCTTAACAAACTATTTCCACTCCACTCTCTCTAGTTGTCACAAACCCGACATAACTGCTGCGTCTCGGTGCAGCCCCTGCTCAGTAGTTATCGCGTTAGTCCTAGTCTCAGTACCATTGTCTTCCATTACCATTGTCTTTCATTACCATTGTCTTTCATTACCATTGTCTTTCATTACCATTGTCTTTCAGTATTATTTTCCAGTTGGGTATCTGAACATAGGAAACAAAATCTGTCCTATTGGCCCTTTCTCTTTCCGTAAAAAGAAAGAAAGAAAAATAACACCTGCGAATCCACATTGATGAGAACAGTACGAAATGTATGTACATGTTGCAGTTTGTATTGAACTGCACTCCCTGTTATAAACTGAACATTCCAGATCCCGCAAACAACATCACCTGCCAATTTCGTGTGAAATCAGAGAGTTTGAGTTGCACACAGACTTTGTTTTCTCAGGCATACTCTCTCTCTCTCTCTCTCTCTCTCTCTCTCTTTCTCTCTCTCTCTCTCTCTCTCTCTTTCTTGACGATACCAATATTCAAAACAAAAGTTTGATACCTGATGCAACACTTTTCCTTGTCAATTTCTCCAATGGGGTTGCCACTTTCTTCTCTATACACTGTCTACCAGATGGCTATCGAATAATCAACTTAGCCGAATACCCGCTGGGATATTTCGATCAACACCCAATTTAAAAGTTTTGTAAGTCTTAAGTACCCTATTCATTGGAAATTTGTGTGCAAAACTCACGGTTATATAGTCTCAAGCATGTTTCGCTAGGACAGTCTACACAGACCTATGGCCTCCTGTAAGGAGACCATAAGTCTGTGGGGAATGCCATAGGCCGGTGGGGGGGGGGGGGGGGAGAATGCCCTAGGCTTGTGGGAAGTGCCCTAGAGAAACATGGATGTATGTTTGACAGCTGAAAGATGCTTTTTGAGTTGTGCCTTTCCGTACGGAAAAGGTGTAGAAAAACGAAACGTGGATTTGTGTCGTGAGAGTCATTACTTAGCTGTACCTATGTTCTATTGATTGTATGCATGTATCGTTTTCCATTGTCCTATTGATTGTATGCATGTATCGTTTTCCATTGTTGTATTGATTGCATGCATGTATCGTTTTCCATTTTGAATTCTTTTATTCTCACGATGGCCTGTGGCCAATAAGAGAAAAATAATTACAGGCACGGGGATCAGATACAGAGAGATCAAAGTTTAGCTGCTTGCTGAGGCAGTAGCGATGGCAATACTAATTGGGAGTTAATCACGTAGGCTGGGCGCAATGGAGCTATAGATGTGCTGAGCAATGTGAGCAAGTACATACGGAAGAGATGACAAGTGGTAGGATGTTTGCTTTGAAATCTCGTCTGGGGTTGATTTGCCGGATGCTGGGTGGGATGCTATTAAAGAGATCAAGAGAAGCATAGATGGGGGAGTCTCTTAGCCGGTTTGTACGTGTTGTGGGTAGCTCAAAGGTTCGGGGGAACCTGAGCGTGCGAATGGGTTGTATTAGGGGTAGGTGAATTGCAAGAAGGTGTGGTGGTGCATATCTATGATGCAGGCTGTGTGCAAGAAGGATATGGGAGAGGGTACGGCGGCTGCTGAGTGATGGCCACTTGAGTCGGTGCAGCAGCACGGAGTGGGTTCTGTGTTCAAAGAGGGGGAGATGCAAACAGAGGCGAGCAGCGCGCCGTTGGATGCGCTCAAGCCGGTCGTTCAGGGTTGCGGGGAGGGGTGAGAGGACAGTGCAAGCATACTCAAGAATAGGGCGGATGTAGTCCATTGTCCTATTGATTGTATGCATGTATCGTTTTCCATTGTTCTATTGATTGTATGCATGTATCGTTCTCCACTGCTGTATTGATTGTATCAAGAGTAGATAAACAAGAGTGTGCAACTCCGGATCTCTCCTGCACAATCTGCAGATACCCCCGCCCACGGCGGAATTTTTGTTGACGTCACCTTTTTTCAGAAGAACGCGCATTTTGCTGCAGAGCAGTGTGAGAGCACGTGCTGGGCACCGACTTTGTAGTGCAAATGCGGCCAAGTGCACGAGGGAAAACTTTCCAAAAGACTCATAGCGCGTGCGTCGTCGAAAAGATTACGTCAACAAAAAATTCCGCCGTGGGCCAACCCATCCGCAAGTTGCACACTCTTGTTTATCTACTCTTGACTGTATGCATGTATCGTTCTCCATTGTTCTATTGATTGTATGCATGTCTCGTTCTTCACTGCTGTATTTAGTGTATGCATGTATCCTTCTCCACTGTTCTATTGATTGTATGCATGTATCGTTTTCCATTGTTCTATTGATTGTATGCATGTATCGTTTTCCATTGTTCTATTGATTGTATGCATGTATCGTTCTCCACTGTTCTATTGATTGTATGCATGTATCGTTTTCCATTGTTCTATTGATTGTATGCATGTATCGTTTTCCATTGTTCTATTGATTGTATGCATGTATCGTTTTCCATTGTTCTATTGATTGTATGCATGTATCGTTTTCCATTGTTGTATTGATTGTATATATATTTTTTTTACTTGAAACCACGCACCCAATTCGTAAAAGAAGAAAGAAGCAGGAAATGACAAAACAACAGACTAACAAGACATTGACTGAATGGGGCTGCAAATGCAACGCAGCGGTGGTGATGGGGTGCTGCAGGCTCCGCCGACCAATGGTGTCGGCATCCGCGCCTACTTCACGCATCAGAAAATCGGGAGAAGAAGAGAAACAAAAAAAGATTGAAAAAGTATACAGCGAAAAGTATAGTGTGGAGAGAGAGAGAGAGAGAGAGAGAGAGAGAGAGAGAGAGAGAGAGTGAGTCAGAGAGAGAGAGAGAGAGAGAGAGAGAGAGAGAGAGAGAGAGAGAGAGAGAGAGAGAGAGAGAGAGACAGAGAGAGAGACGGAGAGAGAGAGACAGAGGGAGAGAGAGAGAGAGAGAGAGAGAGAGAGAGAGACAGAGAGAGAGAGAGAGAGAGAGAGAGAGAGAGAGAGAGAGAGAGAGAGAGAGAGAGAGAGAGAGAGAGAGAGAGAGAGAGAGAGAGAGAGAGAGAGAGAGAGACAGACAGACAGACAGAGAGAGAGAGAGAGAGACAGAAACAGAGACAGAGACAGAGACAGAGAGAGAGAGAGAGAGAGAGAGAGAGACAGAGAGAGACAGAGAGAGAGAGAGAGAGAGAGAGAGAGAGAGAGACAGAGAGAGAGAGACAGAGAGAGAGACAGAGAGAGAGAGAGACAGAGAGTAGAGAAAACAAGGAAAAAGAGAGCAATACCTTCGTGTAGATACTAGATAGGTGCGATTAGACTGAGTCAGTAGCCCACATCCAGTTCTCGGCGCGCAGGTAGCGGTATACCTGCGTCTTGAATGCCTGCATTCGGCTGCGATGGGGAGGATGCAGGAGCAGATCACAGGGCAATGCATTCCACTGGTGGAGCACACAGTGGGGAAATGATCGCTTCAGGACTAACGGGGTAGAGGCTGGCAGGCTGGCGTCCAGTTGAAACTGGTGGCCAGCAGCGCTGGCATGGTCGCTCCGGGTTCGCGGGTTGTCCGACTGCTGACGGCGAGCTGGCAGAACCGCGAGAAGTTGAGGTGGGCCCGTAATTACTTGTAGCTTGTATAAACAAGCTATAGTCTGTTTCAAAAAGATTTACAATCAGGTTTGGGTCTTAAAAAGTATGAAGATAAGGGAAATTTGGACAACAAAGTACATAGAATGGCTTGTTAGGACACGGCAAATTGTTCTGTGAAGGTTTCGGAACAATTGGACCAACCGTTAAGGAGTTAGAATTTCGGCCAGGTTTCCGGCCTTTTCCCATGGTTTACAATTTGCCCAGGAAGCCAGTATCGATTTTTTATCAAAACCCACGATTTATCCTTTCCTTTTTGGCCTTGTGGTTATGAATGCTGTCTGCTGACCATGAAGTTGTGAGTTCAAATCCCAACCTATCCTCACGTCAAACTTTTTTTCATTGTTTTGGTGATCAAGCTGGTACAAGACAAAGAAGGTGGCTGCACCAAACGACTTGTTGTTGGAGCTCGCGCTTCCTGCCGAACTGACTGACACTTGACTGGCTCACGCCATGTGAACACACCCACAACACTGCAATGGTGTGAGTGAATTATAATGGAAGTCATCGCGCTGTAGCTTTTTGAGATTTATTTTAGTATTTCAAGATCGCCAATTTATTTGAATTTAGCAGTCAACGCCGTCTTCTATCAGCGTTCACAAGCGTTTGCTTTTCTCAAAATGTCGTCGAAGTCACACGGATAGCTTTGCCAAGTCATGGCCTTGGGAATGAGTCCGTGTCGATGTCGTTTTCGTCACACGGTGAGTAAATTGCATCGCAGCTCAAAGAAACTATTTTGGTCACAAAACGGACCCATGCAGCTCGTCAACATTCACAACACTTTCGTTTCGACATGTCCTCTCTGACTCCATTATCGATACGAGGAAGAACTCGTTTGTTGTAAACCAGACGTACGTCCATGACTGTGTCAACGTGAGTGAGTTGTCATTTTTCCTGCTTTCGCGCGGAATATTTCTTCGAGTTCACAGTGAGTTTTTCCAGGCAGCGCTCGAGTGCTCATACGGTAAGACGCCAAACTCCGCGGGCGATCGCCAGGGTTGTAAATCTTTTTGAAACGGACTGTAGGGCAGCTACTGTCCGTCTGATTGCCAGACTAGGCAGGATTGCTCCCGGACCAATGATTCCGAGGGCCCTGTGCTGGACTCGGTCCAGTCGGCTGAGGTGGCTGGATGACGCTCCAATCCAGATAAGTGGGGCGTACTCCGGCAGCGGACGAACGAATGCTTTGTACACTGTTATGCGCCCAGCCGGAGGGAGAAGATGAGCTGACCGGCGCAAAAGACCAAGTCGCTGCCTTGCCCGGGTTGCAACAGACCGGAGGTGCTCCCCAAAAGACAGCTTCTGGTCAAAGAGGACGCCTAGGAGGGTGATCGAGTTTGCCTCGGAGACTTGTATTCCACCAAACATGATTGGCGGGAGGTGTAAGTCAGCTCTTCGGAGCGTTGCAGTCATTGCCTGGGACTTGGTGGGCTCAAATGCAATCTTCCATTTCTGGCCCCAGTTATGCAGCCGATCGATTGACAGTTGCAGTGAGTGCGCTGCACCTGCCGCGCTGCCATTCAACACAACGGAGTAAAGTGTGGTGTCGTCTGCGTATGCCTCCAGCTGGGCATCATCCACCAGAACAGAGGGTGCATCATTTACGTACAGTAAAAACAGTGTCGGGCCGAGTATGCTGCCTTGGGGAACGCCCGCAGTTATGGGGTACTGGGTAGACATATAGCCACCCACCAAGCATCGTAATGAACGTGATGACAGGTACGACGACAGCCATGTGTGGAGTGGCCCAGTGATTCCTGCATTACGTGCCTTATGGAGGACACCAACATGGGACACGCGATCAAATGCCCCAGCAATATCAACAGCGAGGATACGAGCTGCTCCATTTCGCCCGACAGCATTAACCCAGGCATGATGCAGAGCCTGCAGAGCATCAGATGTACCCAATCTTCTCCTGAAACCAAACTGGTGGGAGGTGAGGAGCTGATGGTGTTCCAGATGGTTTTTAACCTGGCTGTTCACAATAGTCTCCATCACCTTCGAGATGATGCTCAGCAACGAAACAGGGCGGTAGTTCTTGAGCACAGAACGCGAAGCCTTTTTGTG